CCAAGGTCAGAAATGGAGTTGTTCTGTCTCTCCTTCTGGTAACTGAGTGTTTCCATCCCTTATTATTTTTCAGTGAGGGTTCATTCTGGAGTGTAGTCATTGTTTAGTTTCAATTCATATGCTTTCAAATTAGTAGACCTTTGGAGGAGTGCAATTACGTTTGTGCAGTTAAATGCTGCTAAGCTCTTTTTTATATGTAGGGGCTGTTGGTAAGAGTTTTGTCTGTTTTGTAGAATAGCACTTATATAAACTATTGTGTGGTTTTGCTTGCTGTGTTCAGGGATACCATAAATTGTGTTTTGTTAGTTATATATTTTACTCTTCCCTTGTTTCTACAAATTGGGGATCTGAGGGCCTTGTCCTGGATTGCACTGTTGTTGTCATCAGTATTGTTCTGTGTCTGTTATCTGGGATTAGAAAAGAGGCATGGCTATGCTTTAGGAGACCAGACTGCATCTTTAAGATAAGGCATTGCTGCTTTGACCTCTTTCAGCTTTCTCACTATTTATTGCTTTAAAAGCAGCATGTCTACACTTGAGATTTTGTTCCTCTGAAAAGGTTCTCCTAGCTCAGTCAGAGATGCTATATGTATTCTTGCTGCGTGAAAGTGCAGTTGCCATGTTGTTATTGCTACTCTTTGCTTTCATCTATTCTCAGAGCTGCTGGGGAGACAACCTCAGCTCTGCTTTGCATCTGCTGCCCTTCTGCGTGACATATTATTTGATGAGCTGTGGAATCTGTTTTGGAGGTAAACTGAAGGGTTTCTCAGGATGAGGAAGCAGCTTTGTCCTTTGAGGCAGCAGGAGTTGTTCTCCTACACAGTCATGTGATAAATAACAGGAACAGTAGGTCCCCATAAAAGCTATTTAATAGATTGGAAGGGTGCACTTTCTTTTTACCAGGATTGTGCTAGCTTGCGACTATGATTTCAAATTAATTTCATTACTTTAAACCAATTAACATATCAGATAATTTATCTAAGAAGGAGGTCAGAGTCATCCCTTTCTTAATTGTGTATGCATCCTTTCCTTTCCCTGTTGTGAGCACAGATTTATTTCCTATGTTGCACTAGGAAATTAGTGTCAGGGACCCACTTGTCCATGGGGGCTATGGGGTAAGATTCCTCCAGTAGTGCCCAATGATCACTCTTCTATAAATGCTGCATGGCAGAGGTGACATACTGCAGGGCACAGTGCCAGCCTCAGCAGCAGGAGGGTATTCTAGCCCTGTAGCACATGGCCAGCAAGCTGCTGAGGAAGTGGGGACAGACCAGAGATTACAGGCTAATTCAGCTCAGCTCTGCAGAGACGCATGAACATTTCCTGGTCCCTTCACCCAGTCTTTCCCTTCTGTTTCCATTATTGCTTCTTCAGGCCCTTCCACAAATAGTGAGTTTTCTTGTCTAAGGACTAAATGAAGCTTCTGAGCCAGGTTGGGGGAGGGGATATATCACTGGAGGAAGATTTTTGAATCTGGGCATGAGCTTGCTGGGGGCATCCAGAAGAAGACTGGTTTTGGGCAGGACAGAGTTGAGGTGGTGGCTCTGAGCTACATACATTGGTTCAGAGGGTAGAAGAGGGGTTCTCACCTGGGCTACCAATCAGTGCATCTTTTTGGATGCCTTTCTGAACAGACAGCTAGATTCATTGGAGCTTAGGGTACTTACAGAGTTTCTGAGCCAAAAGGAGGAGAGGCTGGGATTAGTATGATTAGGCTGGGAGGAGGAATGGGGGGAGGCAGGAAGCCAAATGGTGAATGAGCCTGGGGGTGTGTTTGGGTATATGGGGCTGAAATACCTTTAAGAAATGTGCCTCAGAATTGGTTTTCTGCATGAAGTCCTGCTCAAATCAAGGGGGTTCTGCAAAAGTTAAGGGATTAGAGTTAAGAGAGACATTCACCGTGACTGGACTGCAGAACCACTGCTAGACAGGTAAGCAAGGCTTAGGGTCAATAGTCAGAATTTCAAGGCTTGTTACAAACAAATGCAATATATAATGTCACACAGAGTGACACAAGCATAACTAATGCCCAAGCTACTTTGATTATAAGAAATTGGGACTCGAGCTAAAGCCGGGCATTATCTTTTGAACTCAGTGGATAAAAATATTGCCAACTTTGAGAATGTTTGTAAAAAAAATACTGTATTTTTCTACAAGCTCTGGGAACTCAGTAACAAATACTGAATAAAGTATGCAGCACTCCATTGGAAATGTTTTGTGCAGTGGGGATGAACACAAACTACAATAACAATCCTTAGTAAAACAGCATGTTTTGGTTTTCTTCCATTTTTCTCTCCGGTCAGTGCTTTTAGCACTGGTGGGAAAAATGTATACCACTCATGGGTTCCTAATTAAATATGGATTTCCTTGATGCACAAATAGACTTGCTCATCTTTAATAATAAATATAGGTGTATGAACTAACTTCTATAAAGCTGTTTTCTATTTTGTGTTCCCATTTGTATTAGTGTAAGAGAACAGTGTACACAATGAACATGGTTTACATGTAAATGTTTAGACCATCTGTAATGGACCATAGAAACACATAGTCAATTCCTTTGGCATATCCACCAAAGCTTTCAAAGTGGTCTACCTCTAGCTACCAATTTCACTCATAAATATACCTGTAATCATAGCTGGGGAAAAGCAGTAAGTTCATAAATGCAGTGCCTTACCAGAGGCTTGGAGGGTTATTTAGTCCAAGCCCTGCAAAAAGGTAGGATTTGCTATTCCTAACCCATCTCAGAGAGATGCCTGTCTAGACCTTTTTTTTGAAAACCTCCAATGAAGGATATTCTACAGATTCCTTGGACGGGTTGTCCAGTTGCCCCACAGTTCTGACAGGGAGCGTTTTTTTCTGAGATTTGGTCTAATTTTTGCCTTGCTATAATTTAAACCCATTGTACTATGGTATGTCCTGCCCTTGGCAGAGAACATTTTCCTCCATCTTATTTATGGCATCCTTTCAAATATTTGAAAATGGCTATCAAGGTCCTCCTTAATCTATTTATGCAAACTAAGTATGTTCCTAGTTCCTTCAACTATTTCTTGTACAGCCTGCATTCCCAATCCTTAATCATTTTTGTTGCTTACCTAAGGTTTCTTTCCAGTTACTTTACATCTGTTAGAAAGTGGTCACCACATCTAGCCAAAGTACTCCAACTAGGGCCCATTCAGTGCAGATTAAAGCAGTACCCTGATCTCCTGAAACTTGCCCATGCTGTTTCTGTTAGCACAACCCAAGATTGTATTTGCTTTTTTTGTGAGTGCCTCACATTGCTGATTCACATTGATTCTATGATCTGCTATAACCCACATACCCTTCCCATCAGAGCTCCTGCCAAGTTATTTATCCCATACTTTGCATTTTTTAAAGTTTTCTCTTCCTAAGGCATTAGTCTTCGCTGAATTTCATTTTGTTTTTCAAAGCCCAGTTCTCCTTTCCAAAGCTCCATTTTTCCAGAGTTTGGAAATGTAATCCATATTTCTAAAATGATTGTTTAATTTTAGCCTCTAAACTGCACCCACTTTTATGTCATCCACACATTTTATCAGCATACTCTCACTGGACCCCGAACAGAACCTATTTGGGACATCCTGCCATGCTGACATTGATCCATTTAGATTTACTCTTTGCTTGCAGGTATTCAACCAATTGTGTATCCACCTAAGAGTAATTTTATATCTAGCCTGTATTTCTGCAGGTTATGTCTGAGAATTGCCTGTGAGACTGTTTCAAAAGCCTTACTAAAGTCAAGCGATATTATATTCTCTACATATCCCTCATCAGTCAAACTAGTTATGTTGTGAAAAATGAATATGAAGTTGATTTGCATGATTTGTTTTTAACATGTCCATGTTAGCTGCTAGTGACACCCCTTCTCCCCTAGATATTTACAAACTGGCTGTTTTATAATTTTCTCTGGTACTGTTCCATCTATGGAAGTCAGGGTCTTCCTTCCTCCCCCACCTTCTAAAGATGGGCATTATGTTAGCCTTCTCCAATTCTCAGGGATCTCACTCATCATCTAAGTGTTTGCAAATATGATTGTCAGTAGCTCCAAGATTTTTCAATTTGTTCCTTCAGCAGCCTCAGGTGATTTCTGCCAGGCTCTGCTGATTTACATTCATTTTGAATGTTTCAAAAATTCTCTGATGTACTGTTTAATTATGTTGGTCTGCAGCCTTCCCTTCTTTGTTTATATTCATTAGTTATAATTGAGCCTATTATAGATAGAGGGAAACAATCAGATCTAGGGAAGTGATTCTTCCCTTCTATTCGGCACTGGTGAGGCCACACCTGGAGTATTGTGTCCAGTTTTGGGCCCCCACTACAGAAAGGATGTGGACAAATTGGATAGGGTACAGTGGAGGGCAAAGAAAATGGTTAGGGGACTGGGGAACATGACTTATGAGGATAGGCTGAGGGAACTGGGCTTATTTAGTCTGTAGAAGAGAAGAC